CCCTTCATGATTTCGCTTTTGGCTGCCGCTGTCGCCTTGTCTGTGCAGCTTGTCTCCCTTCATGATTTCGCTTTTGGCTGCCGCTGCCGTCTTTTGTCTGTGAAGCTTGTCTCCCTTCAACATTTCGCTCTTGGCTGCCGCTGCCGCCTTGTCTCCCAAGCTTGTCTCTGTTCATGATTTCGCTTTTGGCTGCTGCTGCCGCCTTGTCTCCCAAGCTTGTCTCCCTTCATGATTTCGCTTTTGGCTGCCGCCTTGTCTCCCAAGCTTGTCTCCCTTCATGATTTCGCTCTTGGCTGCCGCTGCCGCCTTGTCTCCCAAGCTTGTCTCCCTTCATGATTTCGCTTTTGGCTCCCGCTGCCGCCTTGTCTCCCAAGCTTGTCTCCATGATTTTGCTTTTGCCTGGGAGCCTTCTGCTTTGCACAAGCGATCCGTACTTTCCAACTGCGAAATGCGCAGGGCTGGAAAAAAAATTGCTGAAAAGCGCTTTTGCCATGGTGTCTAACTTTTCTTGAAATGCTATCTGGGGTCTATGCCGGTATAATTCTTACCATTCCAATGTCCAAGTTCATTCCAAAAAGGAAAGCAAGTCGGACATGTCATGCTTTGTGTGGGATTTCTGGTCAACAGCATGGCCAGGGCCTGCTAGTCCAAGTGCTACCTCTAACACGAAACCATCCAAGACTCCCTGTTTCCAGTCTGAGAATCTTTGTACACTGGGACACTGGGACCAAGTCTGGAATCCTGGAAGACCGTCAGTTTGGGAATCTTTACATTCCCTGGAATTCTCATGGTTACGGGGATGGCATGGCACCGATTTGGGATGACCATGAAATCCTCATACCAAACAGGTGGTTTTCCATGTAAGAGCTTTCAATACCCAAACTCATCCGAGGGCCATCGAGAGTGGCCGTGCTTCCACTTATCCCGACCTTCCACGGTGGGAGTCAACTTGATGACCGTGTTCAGCGGGATAGACCTCAGGGCAGGGAACACACGCAAAATAGCATGTTTAGTTTTTTTTTTTAGCATCCAGGGGTCCAGGACCTGAAAAAACATGGACATTGATGACTTGTGTCTTGAAGCTGCAGGTTGTTGAAGCCAAACCAGTGCAGGTGCACAGGAAGGGGGGTCGTGCAAATGATCTGTTTGAGATCCACCCAATCAGGCAACTTTTGCATCACCTTCAGGTGGTGGAACACCTTCTGGAGGTGATCTGAAAAGGAAGGGCCGCCTGGTGATCAAACAGAGGCGATTCTGTGATGTTGCAGCGCTTTGAAGGGGAACATTCCAGGGCAACCATTGCGTAATCTGTCTTTAAAAAACATCCATCTTTGCCTCTACTGCTTCCACCTGTTTGCGCACTGGTCCCAGGTCTCTGCGTTCAGGAGCTTATCTCCGCCAAGACCCGAAAACCACCACCGCGGGCAGTGAAGGGCATCCACGAAATGTCGGAACACCACCCACCTGGAGTCCCTGAGTCATGGCACACCTGTGAACCCCAAAATACACCAATCCGCCTGGCAGTTCTTCAGTTCTCGTGCAAAGATTGTGTCTCACCCCAACGGCCCAACTGAGAAGCCTGGCACATCGGGACAAGCCTGGCGCATCTGGACAAGCCATGTGAAAAAAAAGAACACAAACACATGCAAGCACAAGTCACGTGGGGGAAGCTATGACAACAAATACACCAGAAACACGACGCACTGCCAATCTCAGACTGTTGAGCATCTAATACATGGGCCCATGGCCCACCCCCCTCACATGGAGATGCACAGCACCATGTTTCCAACGTGAAGCACTCCAAGCACCTGAAGTAAACCAAGACCTCTCGGTCAAGCGTGTTTAGCGCAGCATCGAGGTCCAAAGATTCGCCTCTCTGGGTTTGCCCATGAAGTAGGTGTAGAGCACTCTCAGGATTGCCTGCATCAAGCCATAGCCGCTGCCCTGATATGCCCTGATTTTCTAGAGATGTTGGTTGGTTCGATAGAAGAACACTGTAACGAATACAAGACAGGGTGTTTTTTTCTTCGTATAGGTAATCTTTGCCTCAACATCCGCATCCCAATGGTTCGGGCCAATTTGACTCATCCAAACAACCCTAAGCCTAAACCCTAACCCATGAACAAATGCTTGGGCTGGTCCCCCTTCAATTCACTGACAGCCCAGACTCCACTGTTTTTTTCATTATATAATATAGATCTAGTTCATGATGGTGCATGGGTGACTACATTCGTCATGGTGCACGCTGACCTTGTTCAGGGATCACTGCAGTGTACCCTTGTGGGAAAGCACCAGGCTAACATAGCCAACAGCAATGCCTCGTAACATACTACCAGGGTACCCTTCTAGATAGTATTGGACTATTGGGTACCCTTCTAGAGTTGTCATTCAACAAACAAACCAACGCATTGTAAATGGTTGTCAAAATGGCTCGAACTGCAGTCGCCCAACACTGCATTCATCCCAAAACAGGGGGGCCCGTCCGTTCCCTATTTGTACTTACCCGAAAGGACGTATACATGGCTGCAAGAATCCTTTGGAACAAAACGAATTTCCTTGGACCCCTGCAGTGGCTTCACAAAAAATTGCACAATCCCCAAGTTGGGTGGTTCATATATTAAAGACATCCTTGGGTTTGTGCCATCAAATCTGAAACTTAATGTAGTTACTCTATAGTTCTTTGTTTGATCGCGCAATAGAAACTCCACACATGGTTCCGCACTCGTTGGTTCCGGCCAACAACATACGCCCTGCACCAGCCCATCTTCGTTGCGCCCATTCTGCCAGCCCTTAACGAACATTGGAGTATCTTTCGTGGAAGTGTTTGGCTGAACGTTACTTGAAGATTTTCAAACAACATGGGTTTAAGCGACTCTGAACAATTTGTGTTCAACCACCCCAAAGCACTCTCGTTGTCCCCTTTGAAAGTGACAGTTGTCAGGCACCCCCTGCCTGATGTGCCACCACCAACAAGGTCTCTCGTGTTCGCTCCAACCTTCGAAGCCGACCAGGAAGAACCACATCTGGTGATTCGGAAGCGAGTCTGATTCTTCTGAACTCCTTCATTGAAATGACTTACTTTTTCAATGACCACCCCAATGACCAGAAACCAGTTCAACAGGTCAAGAACGGCCTCAAGAACTAACAGTTATATCCTAGAAACGCTCTCCCCACCTGCACGTCAAACATATTCCAAACAAAATGTTGGAATATATGTCAGATAGAATGTCACAACCCGACAGAATGTCAGAATGCATGCCTGAAAAAATATCATTAACAGACATCCAAATAGAATGCCAGAATGTATGTCAGATAGAATGTCGGAATATATGCCACATAGAGCGCATAAATAAATATGTGCGGTATTGAATGTCAGAATGAAGCCCGATAGAATGCCACAAATGTCGTGATACATGTCAGAGCACGTGCACCAACCGAAGCCGGACCATATGCCACAGGACGGCTCCTGGAATAGTGTTTCTGGTTCCTGTGGCGTTTCTGTTCGTGGATTTGGTTTTGTAGTTCCCGCCCGTGCGGCTAGCGGTGTTTCCGGCGCCTGGAAAGGTGTTTTTGGTCACCGCAGGAGAAGTAGCAGGAACAGGTGTTGTTGGATCCCGCCGGCGACAATGAACAGTTTCGGCTGCAATGATTTTCCGCGGCAGAACTTGCGGCGAAGCGAGAGACGTTCCAATTCAAGTTTGGATGGACGGCCCAAAAGAGCACAGAACGCAACAACTTTGGGAATAGTACGCAACATATGTAGAGATATAGTGTGAAGAAAAACCTAACAATCAAATGAACTGGAAAACACTGTTCGTTGTAAGTTCTTCTCGCGGTGGTTGTAAGCTCAGCAAGCAAGTGGAAACTAAGATTGCTAACGGAGGGAGCGCACCTGGGAGCAAACGTTGTCACTAGCACGACTGCCCAACGTGTCTTGTCCAACCTTAAGTAGCAAAAGTGTGGTGTGGAAAAATACCACAACGCACATGGAGAGCACAACAACATGACCATTGGATGCTGCGTAGTGGAAGGGGCCTAGAACAAATGAGGCTAGATATGTCGGAGAGGCCCACACGGTTTGATGCACAATGACGGTTCTGCGCCTGAGACCAGCATCTTGATGCATGGCAGCCATACAAACAGGCAAGATGAAGGAGTGAGACGTGACGTGGGAAGTTAAAATGCACGCCTGTGGGCAGACCTTTGTCGCACGAGTGGCAGCTGGCAAACGAGTCAAATCGTTCCGCTGGGACTATGCTGAATTTGCAAGTTGTTAATTAAAAGGGTCCAACTCACACCAGCCATGCAAAGCGAAAACATGACAGGTGCAAGACAAACCCGAATCATTGTCTATGATGTGAACAATATCCTTTGCGAGAGGGGATCCCTTACTCCTCTCTCGGCTCAGCTTTTTTCAAAAGGAAATGCAATGTTAAATCGCTATTGTTGTTTGCTCTTGAATCAACAGAATCCAGTTTTTCAACAGAATGAAAACCAATAGGATATCAATTCAACACAAATACAACATTTCCAATGAAAACCAATAGGTATTGCCCTTAAAAACAATAGAAAGTAGCAGTACGGCTTCTATCTGTGTTAAGAAATATTCTTCAACAAGAAAGTCGACTCTATTTTTTCGGAAAAATAAGTCATTTCTAGACTCTATTTTTGTCAAAAAAACACGTTCCCTCTTAAATACGTATTAAGTTCTAATTTAAAGGGCCCTGCCACAAAGAGAAAGAAAGAGAGAGAGAGAGAGAAAGAGAAAGAGCGCGACCCCTTAATGACAAACTTGACATCATCTATGACCCCTTTCCATGATACGTACGTAGAGCAAAAGCTTCAGGTTTGCTTAAATCTGTTTCAAAAAAACTGTCCCCAACCTGTCCTCTCGGGTGGTCTGAAACTGGTCTGAAACCCTTTAGAAGTCCCATCGCAGCCTTCAACTTTGAGCCTCCCTCCCTCCTTCCCTCCCTCCCTCCCTCCCCTCATCTCAGATTCTTGAGCATTGTACCATGATAGAACATTATACAACATCCGTGGTTCCACTTTACTTCCGAAAAGGTTCAGAACTTACATTTTTGGTTCAAAAACCTGAAGTTCCGAACCGTCAGCACAAAACGCATGTGGAGCTGCAAAAGTGATATGGTCACTGATGGTCATCGGAAGTTATTAGAGAACATGGAGTGGATGCATGAAGAGGAGTTTTTAATTAGGTACCACTACGGCCGCAATTAGGTACTATTGGACGCACCGAATTACGACCATAATGGTACCGAATTAAAAGCGAGCCGTACGTATTTCACTTACAGACCCCACATGGAATGACGCGGCACAAGGGCCGCATTGTTTAATCTTGCGATCAATCATCCGCTTTTAGACAATGACCCTTGGATTTCCAGGGTGCAGGTGTAAAATGACAAACTTGATACGTACGTAGAGCAAAAGCACTAGCAAAAGCTTCAGTTTGCTTAAATATTTCAGATTCTTGAGCATTATACCATGATAGAACATTATACAACATCCGGGGATACGGGTCGAAAAAGTCGAAGACCATGCGCATAGCGATGCGGTTAAGCGATTTAGAGCTCGAGGGAGAGCGATTTCATGGTCTAAGAAGGGTTGACAGGGAGAAAATAGAATAAGAAACCTCATTTAGAGTCTACCTGCTAGCCACATTTCTTAATTAATAGGTTATAGTTGAGAAATAATCTAGAGTCTACTCTAAAAAAGCGTCTTTCTTAACAGAGTCATCAGCCGTAAAACCAATTCCAAAATTGCACCAAAACAACTACACATTTCACTAAGAACAACTCAAGTTTTGATCTTCCAACCACAAGTTCCATGTTCCAGCGTGCGGTTTCACTACCATTCTGGCTATCCAGCCATATTTGCCACATGCAGAACCTTTTCTGATTTGCAGACTTTTCTGGCCACCCACCCATCCAGAACGAAGTATATTTCTTGCTCTCCAGCCATGCGTGCCACGAGCAATTTTTTTTGGTCATGTCAGTCAGCTTCATCTTGCAAGACCACCAAACCACCTAGGATCAGACAAGTTCCACAGCCGTCTCAGGGCCTCATAGGTCTGCTCAAAATGGGTTCTCATCTCTGGCTATCCAATCATGTGATCGATTGCTGTGGGCAACCACACCAGCATCCGCAGGCACCATCAGCTTTGCGGCCCACGGCCAAAGAAAGAATGAGCACTTTGCAGGCTGCAGACATTGAGCAACTTTCCACATACCAAATGGCCATCCAGCCATCAAACAAGCAAATCAAATGCAGCTGTGGCTATCCAGCCATACTATTTACGTTAACTAATGGTTATCCAACCATGAGACAAGCAAAGCGGACTTACACTAGCGGCTACCCAGCGATTCACAAAGCGAATGGGAAGTCTCCCAGGTCAGCCTTGGATCACGCACATGACGTGTCTCCCCATGGCTATCTAGCTAGGAGACTTTCGTGGTGGATCGGTTGCTTCGTTTTTCAATTGAACAACTTTTTGAAGCTGTGTTTGATGGTGAGAAGTACAGAGGTTGTGGAGGCTGTGCAAGGAAAGCCCTCGTGGCGGATGCGTATGGAGGCTGTACGAGTATGTTCTCAATTTTACAAGAACGAGGGTTGGGAGAAGAACAGTGGAACGCGAAGGGTGAGCGGAGGAACAGCGGACGCCCACAGCACTCCAGCAGGAAGTATCACCTTGCAAACGTGGCGTCGAAGACGTATCCAGACTTCGTTTCTTTCGGAACAGGGACAGGCTTTGGAAGGTCTCTGTGCCCATCTCATCCCCCAGAAGCTACTTCTCATGGTCAGTGCACTTTGAGTATGCTTCTTTGAACCGTCGCATCTGTGAGCCTTTTAGACATGTGCACTCACGCAAAGCATTGCAGATGCCAAGGTGCCCTCATAATCAATTCTCTGGTCCTCATGCAACTGCGTTCTGATTTCAGGGAATTCAGTGGAGCATTTTCAGGGCTTTTTTGAAGTCTGAAGTCTGAGAACTTGAACTACATCGATGGTTGCAAGTCCATCAGGGCAAGAACCCAGTATTCCAACTTTGCCAAGTTCACGCATGTCAAGTATTGTGTGTCCAGGAAAATGCATTCAGATTCGACATTCAAAAGCTACAAAGGGCCGATCAGGTGTGTGGCGAATCCAGCCATGACTAGTTCACACATGTGCAGATGTGCATGCAGATCACTAGCTGCCCAACATGCTTGTGCAAAGTCATCTCAGGAACATGCACTCCAAACCAACCTAGGCAGCAGCCCTATGCTATGTAAGGGCCTCCAGCTACAGCCCAAGCAAGCGCCAACCCATTAGTATCAGGCAAACAGCCTGTATACACACAAGGAGTTTTCTCTTCATGTTCTTTCCACCATCTCCACAAAAAGGCTACTCATACAGACCTAGCGCATGGGTGCGCTCACCTTTGAATGCAATAGGCTGCGACGAATGGGACTGCCGCTCGTACAAGGACATTGCGGTGAGAAGCCAAAACACCGCTGGGAACTGCAAATAACCATGAGGAAACCAAAGCCGTTTCCGGGACCTAAAACAAACATTCTGGGAAAAGCAAGCCCACGGCCCACGGGAAAGAAAACACCGTGACCTGGCTGTTCCTGTGATGACATAGGGTTGTATGTCCATGTCAGACTTCACGGCAGGACAAATGCCAGACAACAAGGAAGTCCGAACACAGTCCAGAACATTTCCGAGCTTTTACTTTTCTTGTCTAAATGTGTGACCTTGCTTAGCAGGGAGGCTCAGAGTTCTTCACTCTGGTGAGCCCTGAGGTCGGGTTTGATCTGGTGAACTCTGTGTCATGTTAAAAATAGACCCTTGCAAGAAGATTCTCATCTACCAGCCGTTTTCAAGGTCCATATGGATTTTGCAGGAGGGTATATCAACCGTGCATCACCAAGTTCCAAATTCGCTGTAATGGATCTGGCCGGGGCCCTTCATTCCGTTTCGCCGCTCCCGTCTTCCTCGGTCGTCCTTCGGTCAAACCGACGTCGTCTCGGTCCGTCGTTCCAAGGAGCTCGTGGGCCATCGGTTCGAGTCTGGAGATGAGATCGGTGTAGCTCTCCCCACGAGGGTAGCGATATTCGAACCTCGAAGGCGAGCGAAGCCGAAGAAGACCGGAAGTCGGCTTGACTCAGCGGCGAAGCTGCTGCTCAGTGGACGAACAAGCCACCCTCCGTCTGTGTGTGTGTGTTGGTACTCGTTGATCATCGTTGCACTGATGCAGCTGGGCAAATGATGGGGCCTTCTTTGAGAAGCTTGGGGTTCAGTAGTTGTTCGACAAAGAAGAGAAAATCAGGGAACATGATATGGAAAATGGTCTGAACCTTCAACTTGTCATTGTCTGTTAGCTCCTTATTGGTCCTCTTGGTCTTTGCGAGTTGCTATTTTCCATATGCTCCGGACTATTCCATTTGGAGCGAAACAGAACGTGGAGAATCATCGAACGGTCACGCTGATCTCACTCGTTTCAAAATCAAACAGCCTTGACACTAGTCTCGTAGAGGTGTTCACCTACATCTACACGGGTGTTGAGACACCCGTATGCACAAGCGCACAAGGGTCTATCCATTTCAAAAAAAAATGGTCCCTCACTCTTTCCTGCGTCCCATAGCCAGGCGTCCCATAACCCACAAAAACCGAGGTCCTTCACCACTCCGAACCTTCCGTATTTTCGACACCGTGAGGCTCTGGAAGGATTTAAAGAGAGGGCCAAATGGGAGTTGAGTCAATGCCCCATTCGAAGGTTGCTCAGACCATGAGTATTTTGTCATATTCGAAGGTTAAGACACATTTCTTGATAGTCTTTGACTCCCAGGGATTGTGTACCCAACACTGCCCCAAACTAATAAGGATTGTTTTTCAGACCGACGGATGATAAGAAAAAAGTTTTTCCTGAATTGTACCCGAGAATTTCCCTGATCTGCTTGTCACAATGTCCCAAGGCACTTGTCTCCTTTCCGTGCCGCAGCCTCCTCTGGGTACTGCCGCTCAATCTCCTACCAGATGCTGTTGGGAAGAACATGCGTGCTGGGCGGTGCTCAGAAAAAAAGTGATGCTTCTAGGGATAGAACATCTTCCTGTTTTGTATTGGTGACATGGGCTGGCCGTTCTTCCTACTGCCTATTGGTGGTGAAAGAGTACCCATGGAACACCACGTTCGCGTCTCCGTGGAAGACATGTTCGCCCCTCAGAGAATCAGAAAGAGTGTGCCAAACATCGCAGCTTCCAAGATGAATGGAACGTGAGAATGGCAGTTCAGCACACCCCTAAGGAGAAGACCCATGACTGGTGATCCTTTTGCTTGACCCATGAGCGCGTAGGAAAGGGGATAGCAAGACCCGACTTCTGGTACCCACAACAGGTACTAAATCACCCCGTGGTGTAGCGAACTGCTTGCGAACCGAACAAGGAGTGTTACCCTGATGAAATTCCAGCGTGCTTCAACTTGCACTACTTTGCTCTTACGGCCCTTGCCTGAATTTACAAGAACATTACTAATCCATATTACTCCTACAAATCCTTGGTGGTCACATCTCTCATTTTGAGTTGCTGCCCTTACCAATCTTACCTCACAAATCTCGGATCAAATTGGGTCGGATCTCACAAGCATCGCGTGGGTCAATTGGGTCGGATCTCACAAGCATCGCGTGGGTCGGCTGCTTCGCTTTCGATCTCAGGTCGCATTCCTCGTAGGTCATGCCATCGCATAAACCTGCGTAGATCTCGTCGAGGTTCCGGTGCATCTTCGGGCGCATCTGAACCTGTGGCTTTGGAAAACACGGCGCATCGCGTCGGGTGCAAAACGGAGGCAACTCAAGATGGGTCCGGACTGGAAGCTCAAGCATGCATAGAATTCTTGCATCTCGACCTTGCCTGTTGAGAGTTGAGCACGTTTGACATTGAATGATACTTGAATATAATTGTTTGCCATGTGCCGCTACCTCCACCTCAATACCCTCCTTGACCTCTGCACAAACACGCCCCCCCCTTGTAGGAAGGATAATCATTTTATGTATGCACCCCAAATGACGAAGGTCATTTTGGGATATGTGGCACTGTGGGAGTGGGTGTCTTGCTGGAAAATGACGTAAACTTCAGCTTGATCTTTCTTGATGACGTTCCCGGGCCAGGATCTTTGACTATGAGCTATTCGGGACTCCTTCTTCTATATAGTTCCAGTCCTTGGACCACCGAAGCTGAGAACAACTTCTGCCGTGGTGCCCACTCCGTGCCATTCGGCAAGCAAATGGAGTCGTGTCCTTGGATGGTCGATGCTGGCCAGCTCCTGGGAAAAGAAGTTCCCCTAGAGGCCCAAAGGAGAGTCACCCATGGAGAAAATGAACGCACAACGCACAACATGTACTGCATTCCACCTCACAAGCGGCTTGGGGCCTCCAAAAGCCTTGGGATCTTAGGGCTCAGATGCAACACGAGCTTTTTTAGATTGTTCAACAGCAGGTAAGCGAGTGGCTGCCATGACGCGTCTGAACACTCTTCAGCATATCGAAATTCCGCCAAACAAGAGCCAGCCAACGCAAGCCAACCACCTGGAAGTCAAAGCATGTCATGAACATACTAATATTATATATATACCTAGATCATCCTGCTGTGCGCTTTTTTGGCCCCTTAGCTTAGGGTCAAAATTTTCAGACCCTTAAAAGCAAAAGTGACCCTGGCAAGAGTTGGAGTCAGCTGATTTGCGGAGATCAAGGTGGTCAAGTCGCTTCTGGGTGTGGCGCAAGAGGGTTTTATCATGCGGTTGAATGATTAGTCAGTGGTGCTTGGTAATTACAAACCTCTTGGTTTCAGCCATGTGGTTCATATTTGAGCACTTCGGCTTGCATTCAGCCCGGGTCCAATGACCCCTGAGCCTTCGACTGGCAAGGGATGCGCTTGGGGAGGCGTGTCCAACGAGAAACAAGTCAAATCCATCCCAAACCACCAACAAAGCAAAAAACGACCCTCTCATGAAAAGTCAACTTTTGTGGTTGGGACTCAAAAACCACACCCTTGGAAGATGCAGGTATATATATATATATATTTTTTTTTTTTTTTAATCGTGCTATATCGTCATGTGTGTCATAAATCCCCTATTACTTACTTTGGATCCACCGGACTCCCCTCCCCCCCCAACAACCAACCCTCAACTCGGACCTGACGGACAACCCGATGACATGCCATGCGGCGGATGTGCCGGGCCGTCAGCCTCGTGCGCTTCAGGGAGCTGGTCCAGAGGCGCGCCGGCCGCGGCTTCCCCTCCGAGTCCAACTTCACCTGGCGGGGAAGCTCCTCGTGGCTTGGGGTGGAGTCGAGGATCGGGATGTACCCGGTAGAGTGGGAGGCTTGGATGTTCTGGGTTTTACTGTGGAGCTGCAAGGTGAAAAGGGATTGAAACCCAGCTAGCAGTACTTTGAGTAAACGCTGATACTCTCCTACTCTGCTAGGAAGCACCCCAAACATACTACCTATGATCATGCATTTCCTGGATGTCCTTCTTCAACAAAAGCCAATGAGTTGATGTCAACCTCCGAAATCTCATGAATCAATATGGATTTTGCGGCGCGGCGCAACGTTCGGATGACCCAGCTCAACGGCACGAAATCCCCATGATCGCTGTGCGTGCACCACTGTGCAGTCGCTGAGCGGCGCTGCGCCTCCTTGTCGACCCACTCCGCCAGTGCAGTCGCATACTCTTCCCCATGCGCGGTTAGCACAGAGTCCCCACCTGCATTCACTCAAGTCCACCAAAAACATGAAGGATATGTATAGGCAAATCACATGTATGCAAATAGGGAACTGAAGAGCTTGGGTGAATTAGCTCATAATTAGAGGTTCTGATCCCTTCATTCGAACCAGAAATGAATTGAGGATAATTAATGTAATGACAATAACTACAGTACATTCAGTACATCCAGTAGCAGGACTTCGGATTGAGAGCACCCTTCCGTTGGTTCCAAGGTCTTCCAGGAGGCCAAAATATGACAGGCATGATTCATCGTGATCAAGATTCAGGTCATAAGTACATGATTGGATTCATTGTGATTTTGGTCATGATCTGCTGTACTTCACAAGTTGATTCACAAGCCTAAACAAAGAGAATCCTCAAAGGACCAGCATGAGGCTCGAAGCTTGGTCTCCAAGCCCCTCATGATCTGTCTTGATCCCAATGGCATCAACCGATCTGAATAGTGACTAGTGTCCTCGCCCTTACAATCTCTATATAGTGATTGTAGAACAATGTCATATATATATATACTACATACAATTGGAATCTGTGGTTAAACTTACGGCCTTTGTAGGCATGTGTTAGGGGATGTTTGCAATTGATTGGTGTCTGTTTCCTTCCCCCTCTCTTCAATTTTCTACAAACATCTTGCCACTCAGCGTAGCATACGCCCCAGGGCAACGCATGAAGAACATCGTCGACTGAAGTGAGAGCATGGGCTCAGAGCACCGAGAATGGGGCTTAAGTCTTAAGTCACCTGGCTATGCCAAGTCACCTGGCTATGCTCCTAAGGCTTTACATGAGAGTTCTTGGCGCACAACTGATGGCGGAAGGCTACGGCTACGCAACTTGATGGCGCAACTTGCACATTGACCTTGCATTTGGCACACCTGAAGTGAATCTGTCTCAACATGAGGCGGGTGTTGCCCTGACCATTGAGACCGCTCATTTGCTTTCCAGTCTGGCGCAAGGGACATCACCAGCCCTTGAGCTCACATACGTCCATGACTCAAATGCCCCGTGAAAAAAAAGAGATTGTCAGGGACGCTCGAGGCTCCACCCACCTGCCATCCCACCTCCCCTGCCTATCTTTCCCAGCTGGTTGTACTCGGACTGTCCATGCCGAGAGAAGAAGATCGGCCGTCGTTGGCCATGCAAATTCAATAAAAACCTCATGGCTCTTTGCGACGCTGGTTGGCGCGAGCCTGGTTTTCTATCCTCCATCGGATAACCCTCCAGTTCGGTGGCTGCCAGTATAGGGCTTTGAGATCGCGGCAACAAGAAACCCGCACAAGCACAAAAAGTGTACTTACAGTAACAAAACAGTGATTTCAGAGCGGCACAACACCACGGCAATCACACACTGAATTCTTCAGGGTCAAAAAGAATATGGTCACATGTGCTAAACTGGAACGTCGGAAGGAGCAGTTTCGCTACTTTTTTTTTCTTGCCTGAAAGGACAGCAGTGGCATCCAGTGTATCCAGGAAATCATAGGAAATCAACAAAATTGCGTGGTTTTTGCAAACAAGTCAAGGCAACATCTCATGAGCACGCTTCAGCAACAAATGAAGAAGGAACCTGGGGAGCCATTTGTGAGACGACACATCAGGTGATCAATGTAGATCCGGTAGCTTCTGCCGCAGTGCCCAGGAAAGCCCTGAGAAATTAGATGATAAGCTCAGAAGTGGGGATAATCCCGATAAATCATCGAGCTTTATTTGTGGTTTCTGCCTTCGATCAGTTGGTTTTGGACAGTCAACATGTCCATAAGGATTGCTCAAGAATGACCCATGTATCCAAGTGGCTGAGCAAAACGAGAGGCTAAAAAGCCTCGGAGGTTGTGCAAGGAGATCTCCTTAGCTTGGGTGCTGTGTGGAGGTCTTTCGCCCTCAGTGGAAACTCTGAGCAGAACATGGCCCCTCTTCAAGTGGTTTGCTGAACAAGTCCTGGGCATTCCTAACCTGATACAAAAACAAACAAAGTTCGAAGTTGGAGTTACTTTGTCTTCCATGTTCGCAGGATGGATGGTCGACAGTATCACCTCCATGCGAAACAAGAAGCCTTAAGCCTTCCGTGTCTGAAAGCGGGACGCTTCAGGACCCAGGACATCACGCAGGACATCTCAGGCTACCGAATTCCGATCGTTGGAAAGCGGATATCATCTTATATAAGGGGTTGAAGAAAACAACTAAGACTTTTAAGGTGGGTGAATCTGACTTCTCATAGAATCCCATGAGCCAAGCATGCCAAGCGTCCTTACCACCATCCACGAATTTGATCCAACTCGCTTCCTTCTCAGACAGCCTGGGGGCGAAGAGCACAGGGCACGTCCGCCATCGCCCAGAAGCGGATGAACGAACAACATTGAAGGACATGTTTTGGTGGAAACTATCAGTTTAGCTCATTTACACTCCCACTCACTAACATGGACGTGGAAGAGTCTGGTCGTAGAGCAATTTCATGGGTCTTCAGGAGGCCTATGTTCCACTTCTCCTCTTCCATGTTAGTGGGTCAGAGGGTACCCATCCTGGACATGAGAAGCTACAAAGAGCTACATAATTAGTTACAACATGTATCATAATGCTACATACAAATCTCGTCACTCAACCATGCTGTAAACATCTGTAAACAATGTGCCGCGATGCGTTGCGAGATGTGTCACAATCAGGTGGGCTTTGCCTGAAACCTTTGGCCTTGGTTCGAACCAAGGCCCTTGGCAGCGCAGCGCCAGAAGGCGTTCCTCCTAACTTGAGGCTTCACATGTCCCCACTCTCCTGCAAATCTTTGTTTGGCAGCACCTCTCTTTCAGAATATATTCCAAGATCATGAGCCGGGAACTTTTTGGGGGTGCAATGAGTTAGTTTGCCAGCTTTCTGTGGTGCCTCCGTGACAGAAATAGGAAGATTCCCTATCCTCCCGGAATCCTCCCAGAAGGAAACGCTCGCTGGCGATCCCTCGGAGGCGATCCCTCGCTGAGCCAACTGCAGTGCTCACAAATGCTTTCTGCAGTGCTCTCCTTCAATGCCCAGATCCGAGATCAGACCATGACCAATCTCTCTGCCAAGCAACGGCTCGTAGACCTGGTCGTGAATCACTTCTTTTTCCGAGCAGGCATCCCTTACTTAGATTTTCAGAAATTGGAACATATACAAAATATCTCAACACATTCTCACCAGTTCGGGATTCACCCAGTTTGGGAACCATCAAAAAGACACGATCCGAGTCTAAGACCAGGCGACGTGGGTCAAACCAAATGTTTTTGTCCAAATCTCACCGATCTCACCTGGGTCGCCTGTGCAAGGCTCGGACTCATCAAATCGAATAGGTGTTCGCCGGTCGCGTGAAACTGTCAACGGACGGTCCACTGTCGGAACCCCCCCCAGGATGCTTTGTTGGATGCCATGCTCCCCACTTGAGTGGCTGCATGTAGTGCAGCCAAACTCCGCAACCAGTGGGGCAAGTACCAACTGCACAAACAAAGTACATTACCATAATGACGTGGAAGGGGAGAAGCTAAGGGTTCAACACAACTCCCAAATCTTCGTCCACCTTCCTTATCCTCCTCACTCTCTTTCTCATTTTCCGACCTTTAGTACACGAGCAAGCGCTCCTCGATGATATGGAGTTGCTGTCCAGGAACTGGGAAAACAACTTCACGTCAGCATGATTCATCAGTTGAACATCAACGCATATCAACGTCATCCGATCGGCCACAGCAGGTTTGTAGTGGATGTTGTTGGCCGCTCCGCGCCTGCTGGTAGTAGCCGATCCGCTCGCGGAAGTCTGCCGCGGCCTCCTCGGCTGAAAGGACCTTGAGGCGGACGAGGCGGACGAGGCGGACGAGGCGACGAGTTGAGCCAAGGGACTCGAAGGTCGAAAGCCACTATAGGCCACTAAACAACACACATGACCAAGCCCTGAATGAGCTGCGCCTCCTCATGTGTCCCAATGTAGTACTTCTGAGCTTGACCCGTGGTGGCACAGGGCGTTAAGATGTCATTTGGATTGACGATGTCTGACCTTTCCTTTCAATTATTCGAGTCTCAAATGGCGACACTGCGAGAGTTTCCGACATGTTCCAAACATCTTCAATCTGTCTCAATTTAGATTTAATTTTATTTTAATTCTAATAGCCTTTTTGTTACTACTAGTAAGGCACCTGTTACTACTAGCGTGGCACCTGTTACTCATGTTTTGGGTCCTGGGTTTCACTCCCTGGCAGACGGAAACAAATAACATCTATGATGGTTCACCATAGGAACATCTTGGGGATGGCGATTGTAATAACATGTCATAACAACCACCTTTTGTTTACAGTCGAACAGCGACAGGTTGCGGGACCGGCCCAAAACACAGATGGGTTGGCGGTCATGGAGATTGAAGCGACTTCATCAAACCACTTAGACAGAAGGAATCCCACTATAAAGAACTCTTGTCTCAAGGACTTGTGGTCTGTCGCAAACCAAGTGCACATAAGGTCCCTCACAAGCAACAAGCTTGAGTCAGACTGAATTGGTTTTAGTATGTTTTGGTAGTAGAATGTGTTACAAAAGAACCCTACATCTTCCCCAACCAACTAGTGTTGCCACCTTTAGGTCCTTGAAGAAGAAATGCCACCTCTAGGTCCCAAACACCACCTACCCGCGCCTCCTGCACCTGCAAACACCGGTGGGTGGAGGCCATGTTCTCGGCCAACAAGTCGTCTTCGCTGCAGATCACCTCCAAGAACACCACCTGGCTCTGCAAGCTGGTCGAAGAAGCAGATATCAGGACCAGGATCAGGCCTTCTCATGCACTCATGCACCAAGAATCCGATCCGAGATTTTCGGCTGATCTAGATGTTCTGAATCCAAACAACTTGGTCGTCTCCGTCTCTCCGAGTGGACCCACTCTACGAGCTGCAAGAACCTACCCACGTGGAAGACCTGTTTGTATCTGTTTGTATCGTGGACAATCAACTGCACGCATTGCACCCATGGTGAAAGATCAAAATGCTGGTGAAGCCTCACGAGAAAATGTTCTTTCCGGCATCAGTCACCCTCCACTTCTTGAATGCTCAGTACCAGTTTGCTTACCCGGCTCCGGAGCGTCCCCTATCTTGAACAACCAACAACAACCCCGAACAGATTCTCCAAAAAGGCCGAACGGGCCGATTCGGCACCCAACCGACCGATTCGGCACTCTTCGACCGATTCGGCCCCCCAGAACGACACACATCTTTCGAACGGCCTTGGCGCCCAAGGGTTTTAAGCGTTCCAGAAGCCAACTTCGCCGGTCCTCCGGTCGACACTGCAGATATCTGCAGGTTCTACAGAGGCGCCAGTGGGGTGGAGCCAAGTTCCATTGTTATTGTAGCCTGCTAGCCTGCTAGCCTACGACCAGACATGTTTCTGTAAGGTGAAGAACTTCAAAGGCAGTCACAGCAATGTCCTGTACCATCTATTTCCACAACATGAGCTACCTTCAATCAGTCCTGGAACTCCAAAACTGCTTCAGAAAAAAGAAACAGGTTACTCGAGTGGTACTCGACTTCTTCCAAGCTTCAATAAATCTGTCAGAGTTACAGCTTGCTATTGATCTATGTTGATCTATGTTGATCTTCTCTTCACTGTCCTATCTGATTCCTTTTCCCAAAACCAAAACACCTGCCCCGTGGCGACCGCGCTCCAACGCGGAACCGCGGAGCACCCCGCGTGCTCTACGCGGCTCGCCTGGGTCGCGTTGCTCGCGTCGTAGATCGCCACGGCGCCGAACTCCCCAGAGATGTAGCTGCTGCCTTCGCCTCGCCGATTTCGGAGGAGGACGTGCTGCACGGTCCCCGGGGGAGTCCAAAACGAAAAGACGTTTTGTTATTTTTGTCTTTAAGGAGCCACCTGGCACCTGAACATGGCTTGGATGAGTACCCCTAGCTTGAGAGAACACATGAAAAAAAACCATCTAAGCTGGTCTTCTTTTTGAAGGCTTCTAGAGATATTTCGTTTCTGGCTGCCAAGAGCTGCAGTGGAGCAACAAACTCCTGAACCTGCAGAACGGGCAAGGGATCAAAAAATAAAAATAAAAATGCATCAAAAAACAAATATAATTCAGGGTATCAAGAAAAAAACAAAAATGAATCAATAAAAAAATAAACGGACCCAAACGAGTGGAGGGAAGCGCAATAGTCCAACTCGAAGCAGTGATCAAAAGAAAAACAAAAACGCATCAAAAAAAACAAAAACTAAATCAACCTACACGGATACCTTGGATTGTCCTGTAGGGCCCTTGGGTCGAGACCAACCTATCCACTACAACGGTCGGCCTCTGCCCTCTGTGTTCGGTTCGAAATTGCCAAGAATTCAAAAGATAAGGTGTTTCAGGTTTTGGAGATTCAAGAGGTCACGGTTGAGAACAGGACGCCTACATCTACAAAGATCCAAAGGCCTCGACATCCAGACAGATCTAGTGTAAAGGTGTAGAGTCTAGAGACCCACAAAATCTTGCAGAGGTTCAGATCCAGCTCTTCCAAAATTTTACTGGCGTGTTAGAATGGAATGGCTTTCTGCCCTCTAACCTTTACTACTGTACATTCGGGTGGCTTACAGAAGGGCGGCGCCGCAGCCGCGCACACGGATTCAACTCAACTGCGCACACACATTTATCGGCACTTGTGCCTCATCTGCGCACACACTTGTTAACTCAGCGTGCGCACACCCCACCATGGGGAGTCAAGTGCGCACACAGGCCCTTTCCCGAATGTTGCTGCGTATTCCAAATTTCACCCTGCGTTGCTCACTTAAAAGGGTAGTCAACTTGGAATAGCCACTTCCTTGTCTATTTTTGTTACTCTCCAGTGGCTCACCAAGGGGTGAGTCAACTTGGAATGAGCACTTCCTTCTCTAAATTTTGCCCCTGCATTGCCCACAAAGGGTGAGTCAAGTTGAAATGGCAACATCCTTCTCTAAATTTTACCCTCGGGCGGCTCACCAAAGGGTGAGTCAACTTGGAAGGGCAACATCCTTCTCTAAATTTTTCCCCTGCGTGGCCCACAAAAGGGTGAGTCAAGGTGAAATGGCAACATCCTTCTCTAAATTTTACCCCTGCATGGCCCACAAAAGGGTGAGTCAACTTGGCATGGCCAGTTCCCTCTCTAAATTTTACCCTCCAGTGGCTCACCAAAGGGTGAGTCAACTTGGAATGACCTCTTCCTTTTCTAAATTTTACCCTGCCCACAAAAGGGTGAGTCAAGTTGAAATGGCAACTTCTTTTCTAAATTCTACCCTCGGGTGGCTCACCAAAGGGTGAGTCAACTTGGAAGGGCAACATCCTTCTCTAAATTTTACCCCTGCATGGCCACAAAAGGGTGAGTCAAGTTGAAATGGCAACATCCTTCTCTAATTTTTAGCCTCGGGTGGCTCACTAAAGGGTGAGTCAACTTGGAAGGGCCACATCCTTCTCTAAATTTTGCCCCTGCATGGCCCACAAAAAGTTGAAATGGCAACATCCTTCTCTAATTTTTAACCTCGGGTGGCTCACAAAAGGGTGAGTCAAGTTGAAATGGCAACATCCTTCTCTAAATTTTACCCCTGCGTGGCCCACAAAAGGGTGAGTCAACTCGGCATGGCCGCTTCCCTCTCTAAATTTTACCCCTGCATTGGCCACAAAAGGGTGAGTCAAGTTGGAGTGACCACTTCCTTCTCAAAATTTTACCCTGTGCACAAAAGGGTGAGTCAAGTTGAAATGGCAACATCCTTCTCCAAATTTTAGCCTCGGGTGGTGCAACAAAGGGTGAGTCAACTTGCAGCTTTCCTGGCCACTGCAGGCAGCACAGGTCCGTAAGCTGGCCACCTGCAGCAGCACAGTGCTCACAACACTCTGGCCACCTCCAGCAGCACAGCGCTGACGACACTGGCCACTGCAGGCAGCACAGCTCCGTAAGCTGGACATCCAAAGGCCTCGACATCCAGACAGATCTGGAGTGTAGAGGTGTAGAGTCTAGAGACACACTAAATCTTGCAGAGGTTCAGATCCAGAGGCCAGGGGAACAGAGGACCAAAGGACCCGGGGCCTTACGGTCGCCTCACCTCTTCAAAATTTTACTGGCGTGCTAGAATGGAATGGCTTTCTGCGCTCTAAACTTTACTACTGTACATTCGGGTGGCTCACAGAAGGGCGGCGCCGCATATTTTATCAGCACTTGTGCCTCATCTGCGCACACACTTGTTGACTCAGCGTGCACACACCCCATCGGGGGGAATCAAGTGCGCACACAGGCCCTTTCCCGAATGTTGCTGCGTATTCCAAATTTCACCCCTGCATTGCTCACTTAAAAGTGTAGTCAACTTGGAATGGCCACTTCCTTCTCTATTTTTTCCCTCCAGTGGCTCACCAAGGGGTGAGTCAACTTGGAATGAGCACTTCCTTCTCTAAAATTTACCCCTGCGTTGCCCACAAAAGGGTGAGTCAAGTTGAAATGGCAACATCCTTCTCTAAACTCTACCCTCGGGTGGCTCACCAAAGGGTGAGTCAACTTGGAAGGGCAACATTCTTCTCTAAATTGATCCCCCTGCATGGCCCACAAAAGGGTGAGTCAAGTTGAAGTGGCAACATCTTTCTCTAAATTTTGCCCCTGCATGGCCCACAAAAGGGTGAGTCAACTTGGCATGGCCACTTCCCTCTCTAAATTTTACCCTCCAGTGGCTCACCAAAGGGTGAGTCAACTTGGAATGACCACTTCCTTTTCTAAACTTTACCCTGCCCACAAAAGGGTGAGTCAAGTTGAAATGGCAACTTCTTTTCACAATTTTACCCTCGGGTGGCTCACCAAAGGGTGAGTCAACTTGGAAGGGCAACATCCCTCTCTAAATTTTACCCCCGCATGGCCCACAAAAGGGTGAGTCAAGTTGAAATGGCAACATCCTTCTCTCAATTTTACCCCTGCGTGGCCCACAAAAGGGTGGGTCAACTCGGCATGGCCGCTTCCCTCTCTAAATTTTCCCCCGCATTGGCCACAAAAGGATGAGTCAAGTTGGAGTGACCACTTCCTTCTCATAATTTTACCCTGTGCGCAAAAGGGTGAGTCAAGTTGAAATGGCAACATTCTTCTCCAAATTTTACCCTCGGGTGGCGCAACAAAGGGTGAGTCAACTTGCAGCTTTCCTGGCCACTGCAGGCAGCACAGGTCCGTAAGCTGGCTCGCTGAGTAGCTGGCCAAGTGGGGGATAGAACAGGAGTTCAAAAGTGGTCCTTGTTGTTGTGTGTGTTTTTTGGGAGATGCATCAAAAAATGCATTAACATAGAATACATAGATGCATCAAACAATGCATTAACATAGAATACATGACAACACTTGCCATTGCAGGCAGCACAGCTCCGCAAGCGGGCCACCTACAAAAGCCATCGAAAACCAAAGGCAAAAGCCACCAAAACCCAAGAGCCACCGAAAGCGAACCTTCCTTCCTGCCTTGCTGCCTTTCTTCCTTCCATCCATCCTTCCTTGCTTCCTTGCTTCCTTCCTTCCTTCCTTCCGTCCTGGCTTCGTACCTTCCTTCCTTCCTTCCTTCCTTCCGTCCTTCCTTCCTTCCTTCCTTCCTTCCTTCCTTCCTTCCTTGCCTTCTTGCCTTTCTTTGTTTCTTTTCTTTATTTTTTTATTGATGCATTTTTATTTTTTTCTTGATGCATTTATATTTTTTTTATTGATGCATTTATATTTCTTTTTTGATGCGTCTCCCCTGCAGAACGTTGGTTAGCTGATCCGAGTCCCCTCTGCATAGATTCAAAGAGCGAACCGCACAGTCAAGTGGTGCCCTGTTTTGAGGGTTGGGCCAAAGAAAGTCGGTTTGGGCGTTTCAAGCCTTGGTCGGTCGGTCGATTGGTGGTTCCTTCCCAAACCATTCTCCAGGAATCCAGTCCTTTTCTGGTCCAGTCATCCTCAGCTTTATGGATCTGGAACCCCCAAAAAACAACTGCCACACCAAGGCTGCCAAGTAGCATTTGTCACCATCTGTCTCCCTCAGCTGACAAAGAAACCCAAAAGAAAAGACTGTTCATCAACTATCATCAACAAACGTGTCAAAGGATATCAAAGGCCTTTTTTTTCAGCAGCCAATGTTCGAAAAATCGTTTGAAACATCTACTATATATTCTATACAGGACACCATGGCAGCAACAGTGAGCGAACATCCAGTCGTTGGACGGTGCTTCTGTTGAGACGCAGTCACAAGTACTTACTTCGGACAAACATGTTCTCCTTCTGCTGGGAAGGGGATGGTGGACTACAGTGGACCGACGGTCCTAATATGTTTTGTATGTTTTGGTATATGATACCAGATGCTAAGTCTGGGGACTTGATGGGAGTTCTCTGAACCCAAAAAGAACATTAAACACAGAAAACTCGCTTAAACAAACTCGAACCCCGGCATGTTTCGAGCTCCTCTCCCAAAAAAAACTAAAGACATCATCTCTGTAAACAAAAACAGGTCAACTGCTAGGCCCCCCCCGCGCGACAGTGGAACTTCAGCGGAGCGGCGCTCCGAACGTCGCTCCGAAGCGTCACGCGCCGAGCTGCGAGGGGTACTTCCGCTTGGTGGCTTTCCGGCCGGACATCCATTCACAGAGGTCCTGCAACGTCACGAGACGGAGGCCTTTCCCCCCGCCTACGGCACTTCCCCGAACTTCCCCGCAGCTGTGTGAGACACCTGGGTTTGGACATGGAGTTGTTTTGCCATGTAAAATTTGTGTTCCCAATATACTTAAGTTTCTCCCATGCCCGCTTTCTTTTTTGTGTTCTCCGAAGACATGGAGATTGACCATTCAGAATTCAGCAACAGCATTTGGCGGGGGACTCATTAGTATTCAAAGAGGCTGTCCCGCATTGGACGCGGTCTGTGGGTTGGGCATTGTTTGTCATGGCGCAGGAGAGGAATCGTCATTATCAACACTTCTATGACACACAGGTGCAGTGTGGGAAGACGGGATTCCATGTTTTTGGCCTAGAACTGGTTTCGTTGCTTCATTGAAGTATGGGGCAGAATAAAAGAGACAGCATGTACACACTTTCTACGGACTGACGGGCCACAGCTACATCTCATCTCCACAGCTGTTGCTGAACGAAGCAACATCAAGCAACCAAAGACCAAAGATTCATCATACAGTATCAACATTTTGGACAGGTGGATTATAATTTTTCCCAGGTCGACCAAACACGAGAAGAAGTATAGATCTATTTAAGGTGTGCAAAGCTCCAAAGCCAACGCTGCTACAACATTTGACTTGGAACAACAACAACAACAACACAAATTCAGAGATCTGGTCCCAATCGCAAACAAAGAGCCGGAGCCAGTCCAAAGCTGGTCATGCGGTCCTTTCTCCCCCTAGCTGACCCGATTCCTGCCTGAACCGCGTTTTCGGAGGCTTTTCTTCCTGGGCAACACATGTAGGGAACCCCAAGCGTTCTTCTACCTATTGCAAGGCAAGACAAGTATATACCTGATCTTGGGGCCCAAACCAAATATTAACATGTCAACACACAATCAGCTTGCACAAGTGGTCCTTTGAATCCATCATAACCAGCATTCTTTGAATCCATCATAGCCAGCATTATGTTTGATTTAAGCATATTCATATAATGCATCATAATATGACTCGTAGAGCTGTCCACACTGTTGCAGGCAGTACGATGACGCTGGAGAACTGACTGTTCCAGCTACTGCATGCCGGCTTCTCCTCCTACCCGAAGTCGGCAGCCACCCGCCCGAAACCGAAGCGCCCGGCCTCGCCCCGCTGAACGCTCCAAAAGACATGCCGAGCGACGTAAGGCTTTGGCCTCCAAGTTGTTTTCATCGAAGAAGTTTGCTCGCTGAAACTTCCCATCCACCAGTCTGCGCAGAAAAAACTCGAGGGGTTAGAAGGGGTCTCATAGAGATCCGAGTGGTTGGCTCCTGTTATCCGAAATCTTCTTTGAAAACCAAAGAGGGTGACTCAAACTGTAAACCAAAGAAATCTAGATTTGTTTATCTGGGATGGGTTTGGTACGGGTCAACTCACAGCAAAAAAAAGAGGCTCATGGAGCCTGACATCACCTGACATTTACAAACGTCTATGATCTTCATATTTGTCCGTCTTTGACCTTGGGAGTCCATTTAATCGGCTGAAGCAACGGAGAGTTCGTCATATCTTTTGTTCAAAAGATCTTTTATTTCTTCATATCGTTTGCTCAAAAGATCTGTCTTTCATTTCTTTTATTTTGTTCAAATAATTCTTCATATCTGTTATTCTGCAATTTCTTTTGGATGCACCACCTCCATGAAGTCTCCGAACCTGGAGCCATGAGGCCACATCCCAAGTATTCCCAAGCAGTTCAGGACCCAAGTATTCACTGCAAAAGGGGTATGGTATGATGTGTCTCATTGTTTCTCTAAGGGACAGGATGATCAGTCAATGCATGTCCAACAGAAACGTGTACCGCCTCAGGACATATTCGCCGACGTTGAAGACTTTGCAGGGGCTGCCATAGAAGAAACCTCCAGTCTCCGGGAGAACGCAAGGGATGAAGGAAGCAGCAAACGACATGAGCAAGCGTGAGCTACAAAATGTCCTTCCAAGCAAACTAGTCCAAAGGGCTTTGAAGTACTAAGCCACTGCCACGGTCTCCCATGATTTTTCAACAAGCCTTGACGTTAATCTACAGCCACGTTTTCCAACAGAAATTGACTGTTTTTGACGGTCTGGAAGGCTTATGCTGGCACTTCCTCTGCCCGTGAGCGCTTCTGGAGTCCTTGTTGACCCAATGTCACATTAGCGGAGCGACACCAAACGTGGCCAAGCAGCTGATATACCTTGCAGAAGCAAAGGTCAAGGTACGTTGACATGGGCTGAGGACCCTTGTCAGACTGCTTGTGATTTCAGGACAAACCAGATTGAAGTCTCCATCAACTGCATACCTGTTCCACCCTTTTCCTGTTGCCTTGACTCTCCAAGTTCTGTTGATGAGTGAAATCGTCAGTACTTGAAGGCCGTGGACTTGAATCTTGAGTGCAACATTGTGCAAGTGATGAACACAAAATGGAACACGAAGACGATCCCTTCCTAGATCGCACATGGAACTTGAAAAGACATCAATTGGCTTCCCGTACCTTGTAGGCTTGTTGCTGAGGACGATTCATGCAGATCCGCCACGGAGCAAAGCTTCGCGGACAAGTTGCTGGCTAAGCTTTCGTGCGATGTAAGTCTTTCCTCTTGCAGGAAGACCCACCATCGCACAAACCAGATTGTCTGAGCCTCGGGCCAATGGTGAACCGTCTTCCGTCACCGTCTCCGGCACACAAGGAACAATGCGAGGTGCAGGTGCGGCATCCGAGTGAGAAGTGATAGGATCAAGGTGTTTCCAAAGTAACAAAAACCACCTGGTCAGATGCGTTGTTCTTTGCAAAGCACCAAACAACATGAAGAACATCCTGGGTGTGGGTCAACATGCATTCATGGCGCAAACACACAAACCATCTGTAAAATGTTATCATCATTTAGTAGATGGCTTGTGTTATCAGCTTCAAACCTACTGCCTTGAACCAGTTGTTATCCCACCATAGATTCCATAGATCTGAAGCCACATCATGAGGAGGTCAAAGCCGACGTCACACAGCGTCGCACCTACGAGCTTGGAGCCACTGTCACCACCCCGACGTTCGATAGGCAGTTATGACCCATCCAACTTCTGCAGCGAATCGCCACAGATTGACGTCTACTCAGTCCCTCCAAACCTGTTGTTCTGTGTTCTCCCCCAAGAGGCTTCTGCTTTCTTTTCTTTCGACTCAACACCCCAAAAGTGCTTCTCTCTAACTGCATAAAACGATGAAAACAGCGCTAAAAGGAACCTTGAAAATTAAAATGGCATGTGCTCCCCTGGCATGGTGATTTGGCCATCCAAGCTGCGTGTGGCCAGGGTCCTTGGAGCGGAAAAAGTGGCGCTCTGGACGCATGAAGGGCGGAGTGAGAACCTTTGAATGTGAACCAAATGTCAAGGATAAGCTCCAATAAGTTGCCTAACGTATTGTTAATCCCAAAATAATGATAATGTGCTCCAATCAGGAGTTAATCCCAAAAGTTGCCGAACTTTGGCACACTTGTATACACTTGTTCTTTTTTCAAGCGGGTCGCGTAGAATTTTCCCCATATATGGACCTTTCTGACAGAATGTCCGACCGTCCTGGGAAAGGCCATGACTCGACACAGCTGGGCATGTGGAACTGCCGATCAAGCCCGATGGGGCCAATCTGGTTGGAGCAGTGGCCCATGGCGGGGCGGGGATCTTCAAATAGCTAGAAACCACTGTCGGTAGTAGGTAGAAACCACAGTCCCAAACAGGTACGGAACACAATGAACACTTATAGTCTGAATTTTGTTAAATGTAGACTGTTTATGAGAACGTTCTTTTGCTCTCCAATTATTGCTGTACTCTACATCAGTCCCTATGCGCCCCCCCGTTCGCCTCCCGAATTGGGGGGTGGAACCTTCCCCTCGTTGCAACTCAGCCACGCTGGAGGGCCCCAAACCTGGAGGGTCTGGCACCGATAGAAGGGAAGAAAGCAGTGAAGAATATGGCAGAATGAGGCACTCCGACTTACCATCAGGAGGAATTCCTTGGCCACAGATTGAGCGCTTGAAAAACGGCATCTAAACACGACTAAAGGTTCTCAAGCGAAGACGATGGTAAACCCAAAACCCCAAGGAACGAACCTGCTAAACATGTGGGAACTACATGTTCTCTTCATTCTCCACATGTGTTGCCCGGTCCACATGGCGGAGAAGATTTCAGCACCTGCGGGTAAGGGTTGTCGGCCGTCACCGTGGACGGCGTCATCACGGGGCAGCGGGGCGTCCTGCAGCTTGGGGGCGGGAAAGCATTCAAGGCACGACCTTTCATCTCAAATTGCATGGAACATGCTAGTGGAAGCCCTTGGAAGTAGGCACTCACTCACAGGGAAGTGGATGGCATGGACTCTTGAAAGACCGTCTTCCTATTCCTTTACAAGCAGGAGGAAATGAGAAACAAATAACTACACCAAGTAGCTGCGACTTCACGTGGATTCGTGTCGTGAGTAGTGTATGTCCTCTCTAGTCGGGATACTGGGCACATAACACAATGATCTCTTCTACTCATTCTTATGTAATCTTATATTTATATATACACGACAGTGATATAGTGAGCTCTTTTCTGATATAATATATATAGCTGCAAAAGAGCATGCACGAGGCCAGGTTGACTGTCTTTAGCACTGCGGAATGTCTCAAACACCACACACACACACTATGAACACCGCTGTGGCTTGATTTGTCGAGAGTTCGATTGTGACCCATACCCACACATTCCCACACCACAAGTATCAACTGTATCAGTCATTATGCGGGTTTGATCCAACCTATTGTATCACGATTAGTTATACTAGAATCAACCTATACGTCGATCTAGATTATAAGTTACATTGAACATTATACATCTAGTTCAACCTGTATATATATTATTAGTTTCAATATATCATCGCTAGATCATCAGTTTGTTCGAACCAAGCTTTCTGTCCGTTGCGGGGCCATTGACCCCACCCCGTCCTGACATCGTCGCCCCTGGCATCGTCCCAGATCGGAATGCGATTGGGGTGAACACCCCTGCAACTGGTGGGAACAACATGCCTAACAAGCGGAGGAAAACAGTCAGAAGAAACAGGAGTCGCTTGTATGAGATGGACCAAATATTAGACATCCTTCGCAAGTACAATGTTATGCACACACATCTCCATACTGAACCATATTGAAATCCTGACTTGCTTGGCTCCAATATTCTCACTACAAACCTTGCACGAGGCTTTGCAGGTTCAAAATTCAGAAAACCAAAACACACATCTCACATCTGTTCACTGCCTTTCACTGAGGGTGGACCTTTGCTGGTGATATCCTTCGGCTGTCTTGAATGCCATGATGTCAAAGATGTAGCAGTTATTGCTTCCATCAAGCAATGCTTTGTGAAGCATAGTGAATCATACTGCCTGCCACGTTGGCATTGGTAGACCAAAAGTCCAAACATCTTAGAGTTGCACAAAGCAAAAGTGGACAACTGGATCCTAGGAGATGACTTGTCTCAACAACTTTCATGCTTGTTGGCAGGAAGGACAAGTGCTCTAAAATGTGCCTACACTGAACCATCGACTTGACGGGCAGCACAAAACAAAAGCTATTTTCAAGCACAGAAACGCACCAAAAAACACCTATATTATTGTAGAAAAAAACACATGAAACGAGCATGTTAGCTCCTAACCCATACGCCACACGATCACGCGCTTTGTACATCTTCATACACACCAGCTCGGATTGACGGTGTAACCGGTGATCGTCAAAAGCCCCCGGTGATCCCCTGTGATCGTCCGGACTCGAACCCGTGGTTTCCTCGGACTCGCACGCCGGGGGGTCTGCGTTGACGCGGCGGGGCGATTGGGGGCACCGGTGGGGCCCGGATCTCACTAGCCAGGAGACTCAGGAGGCATCAGTTCTTCTCAACGCATGCCTGCGGCTTTCTTTCCAGGCTGTCAGATAGTTTAGGTGTGAAAAAAGGCCTGGTGTTGAGCAACTTGTTCCTTTTGCAGGGAAGAATCTTGGAAAGCAGTTTGGATGGATCTGAGTCATTCCAGCTCTCCAGAAATCTCAATTCAGAGATGTGTGTTTTTTGTGTGAAGGACTCAAACACATTGCAGCAAATCGATGATTTGCACCATGTATACTCGGACAAACACAGCTTCCAGCATGCAAAAAGTGTGGGCTGAAATCTATCTTTGTTGCCCCGTTCTTGCATCAAACAAAATGAGTGGACTTGTCATGTCACAGGTCACAACTGTAGGGCGGGATGTCCACAAACATTCAGGCTAACGATGCATTATCAAAATCACGTTCAAAGGTCTACAAGCTGATCCTCATCAATGCATATATAGTATAAGTCCAAATGGCTAGCAAGGGGTTTGAAATAGGAAAATTTATCTCACGATTTCTCACACGTGTCTAAACATTGAAAACGACCAAATTCAGCTCTTTCTTTGCAGAGGCACTACAAATCTCTTCACGGATAGAAGTGTCTTGAGACCTGACAGAAACCATGAGCGACCGAATCCAAAACAACTTCAAGATCGTTCTGACCATACTTGGCAACAAAGGAGTCGGTGCCAGGTATCATATAATATATATATATTATGTTATATACAGAACCATTGGTTCACCTGGGAGTATCCCCTCTATAGCAACTAGTAAACAATCAACCACTAGTTAAAAGGCCATCTATATGCTTCTGTCCATCTAATTATGTTGTAGCGAGTATGGCTGACACCCTTCTCAGTGCTCTGAAACCTTTGGGGTGCATTTTCGAAGCCATGCATTTGGCCCGGGCACCGTACCTCCTGTACAGCCGATCGGCTACCCCCCCCCATGCACCAAACCGTAAACCGGTGTCGCTTCACGGAACCACGCGGTTCTTCGCCTGAAAAAGAGGAATCGGATCTTTTTGAGCTTAAAAGGGCTTCGGAGTGCGGCGGCATGAGTGCGGGGGCACGGCAATGAAGTCAGCACAGGAACTTCTTGCCGTTCGATGGTTCCCAGACTCCCTGGCAAAACTACATCTTTCAGCATCTTTCAGGAAGGTCTGGACAATCGATCACTCCAAAGTTGTTTCCTCTTAAAGGAGAGGATGTCTGGTCTGACTAGTCAGACGCCACTTCACTCAGCGAAGCTCTGGAACGATCACACCCATTCACTCAGCACCCGTGTCATGACTTAATGGGCATGTCGAATAAGGATTTACAAAAATTCAACCACAAAGTGGAGGTGACTGCTTGCAGTCGGCCAACCCTCATCGAAAGCAACGACCTTTGAATTGAATGCTGTGATAAGTGAACTGGTCAAATCAATGCTCCTGTTCTTCCAAACCATGATCCAATGAAATCCAATGGTCCAACCCAATTGATTAACGTTCTAAAACCATTACAGTATATAATCCCAAAAAAACTGAAAGCAAAAACCACAAGACCTCCACTTGAAATTGAAACAGTGTCAAAACCATTCTCCAAGTTCACTCTGAACACCCACCTGACCTTCAAAGCTCTGCCTCCCAGGTCTACTGAGCTTAAGACCCCGGACTGAGTGTCTCCTAGACATGGAGATGATGGGGTGGCGTTTGGGGGCGCAGGTGGCGTCGATCCGTGTAGATCCAGTTCCCCGTTTCGGAGTCGCCGTTCGCCCGTGTTTCTTGTGGCTGTACCGACTGTGCCCTTCTTTGAAGCCTCTATTAAATGCATCCCATCATATCACAGAAACTGATCACAATGTCCACTTGTCCACACCATACAACGGTGACAAGTGTTATTTTTGCAGGAGACTGAAGAAGTCATGACCGGCAACCCTCAGCACTGCGGCACTGCTAGTTTTGATGCCACCTGCGGGGACTCCGATGTCGCTCGCTCCTCTGCTTGCTCCACTGTGCTGTTCGTGAGGTCAGGCGCCTTAAAAGTTCCCCTCATCCACTGTCCAATCTCAGGCACTGTCGAGCTCCCCATCACAGTCGAAAAAGGACATGTTTCATGGCTCTTGAGTTTGGCGCAAGAAAACTGGATTGCAAATCGAGATGTGCTGGATGCCCTAGATCCTTCATCTCCCTCCATCGGCCCTTACTGAGAATTTTGCCTCAAGAACCAACTGCACTGCTCGCATTGGCGTGGCACCAAGCTTGGTGCAAACCTGGCAATGAGACAAATCACTTGTCATGCTGGGGTTTGGTTCATGATGCACCAGCCATTGGCCACAGGGGATATCCAATCATCCCAACTACTGGAGAACTTTTTGTCTAAACATGCTGCACCCAAGCGAAAACGGGTTCAGTCTCTCTCATCCGTGTTCGGGTCATAGCTGGATTCCAGCTGAACTCATTCAAAACAGAGGTAAAACACGTAAAACAATAGTTTGTTGGGAATTTGAAGTTGTTGCATTCATCACTTGGCTCGGTTCATCACTTGGCTCGTCTACAAGCAAAGAACACCCTTTCATCCATACAATGCGCCACCCCAGTAGCGACCACCTCCAACCTAGAAGCGATGGCCTCCACCCAAAAACACGCAGTAAACATGAGAAGTACGTGGGGTGTAGGTTGGGATCCATGCTCTGAAATGCCAGCTGTGCTTCCCGAACTGATTCAAGTTTAAGAGCTCTGCATCTAAAGGCACCATCCCATACAACTTGGAGAGGCAATAACTAAATGTGCAGGTTGTGACTCTAGGAATACTTGTCCAGGATCTTGGCATTCTAACCTGCCCATAGGTCCTCTATGGTCCTCTCAAATGGCTCAACTCCCTCTTGCTGAGCTCGTTCCAAACACTTTCGCCATGAGATATCCAAAACAAGACGATCAGCACGTAGGTCCAAAGGCCGCTGTCCTCCTGCCGACGGCCGTGAACGTCGAAAAGAGAGGCCGCTGTCCTCCCAACGAGTAATGACTGTCCGAAGCCGCAGGCATGGTGAGTGGAAACAACTCATTGCTGGCGCCCCACGGTCGATTCTTCAAGCAAAAAGATTCTTCTTAGTTACTACTAGTTATTTAGAAGCTAGTAGAAACAAGTGCCACGCTAGTAGTAACAGGTGCCTTACTAGTAGTAACATAAAAGCTATTAATTTAACTTATATAGATAATTCTAATAGCAAACATTGTTACTACTAGTAAGGCACTTGTTCCTAGTAGCGTGGCACTTGTTTCTACTA